TGTTCATAAATGTCCGTTTTCACATTACTCGTTTGCGTTCATTCGTATGTTCTTATGAAAACCGAACCGATTATCGTCATTTACACAATTATTAATGACCCCGCTTCTGAAACTGTCAGGAAGCCTGGCAAAATAAATTCACACGAACTCTATTCTGTTGAAATTAATATTTAATATGATGATTTATATAAAAAAAAATGTAGAAAGTCAAGTAATTGAAATTATGATTTAATAATGTTGAGTCGCCGAATCGTCGCGTTAGCTTCGTGCTCGTTGTCGTACCAAACGTTGACTGACTCAAAAATGTTGAACGTTCGGCAAATGATGAACGCATGTCAAGAGTTGCCATATGTTTACACCAGTAATACTCCTGTATTGGCGGTAAGAGCTAGTACCGTCCGAAAACATTACAGTACAGATATATCAATAAACACGTACGAAAGAAAAGGAACACATACGTTTATAAATAGACATGTACACAACACATACACACAAACGGCACTCACAAAATACATTCACAAAAACGGTACTAGACTCTCTCGCTTTGATCTCGGAATGCTTACTGCCAATATAGAAGTATTACATATATGCCTTAACCTCTCTTTGGGGAGGTTTATGATCGCCCTGGACATTGTAAGGTTGTAACGTTCCAGAAAGCATTTAGCCGGACGTAGACCTGCGGTGTTACGCCCCTTTTGATCTCTGAGTTTGTTTCTCTCCTTCCTGAGCTCTTCACTGATTGTGCTAGGTCCGATTGCAAATAAAGCCCTATAGGAGACTAGGCGGCCGCAGTTCTAGCTAGACGGTCTGCTTCCTCGTCTCGTTACCTTCAACCCCTATGTGTCCTGGTACCCAAATTAGTTCGAAAACATTACCTTCCACCAGGGCGTTAAGCTTGTCACTGAACTCAAGGACTAATGGTTATTTGACCTGAAATGATGAGAGGGCCTTGAGTGCAGCCTGGCTATCACTCAAAATTAGGATTTTCTCACTACGGTAGTCCGTACATAGGCTTATCTCTGCACACAGACTAATGGCATATACCCCCGCCTGGGTTCGATCCCTAGTCCGATTGACATCTATGTATATAAATTACAAAAAATGTTTTTCTAATAGCGGTCGCAAACTTCCCAGTGTATTTCTGCCTTGAAAAAGCTTCTAAAAAGCCATTTGCCATTCGGAGGAAGCGTAAAATTGTAGTTCCCGCCATTTGTTTTATAACCAGAGTACGAAAACCAGAGGTCGAAAGTATACCTCTCCACTTTGAAAATGTCCCATAATAACCGTCATTATTTAAGAGATAACACACAGAACAGAACAGGTGGTTTATTTTTTTTGTAGATGTGTGCCCCTCTCAGTGGGAAAGGGTTGTTTGCATATCTTTTTCCGTTGCTGTTGGGCACGGACGCTTATCGCTGGAAGAGGAAAAATAAGTGTTAGAGCGCGGAGAAACTTAAAAATAAAAGTGCCTGCCAAAGTGTCTTTGCCTAAGGCAAATTTTAGCAGTTGATAAATAACCCACAACGGAAAACACAAAATACTCTTTGCTTGAGAGATGAGTGTTTGTGTCAGTGGTAAAAACTATACAAGACACTTGGTGACGGTTATTTTCGTTCTCTGACGAAAACAAACAAACCGATCGGATCACAACCGGATTTCCACAACAAGTACGAAAAGTTCGTGTTCCTTTGTTCATATTGTTCCTGAGCAATAACCACACAC